TGATTGGTACATCAAAAGATGTAGACGTTGTTTGGAACATTATCAGACAATCGATGGTGATACTTTTGATGGACCACCCCCTATGATAAAGGATTGTGTAAAATGTAATATTTTGTAAAAGAAAAAAAATGCTTTTCAATTGTGATATTTATTCATGTACTTCTTTAGACTGTTACATTAGTTATAATCATAAAAATTATTTTATAAAGAAAAAAATCATCAATAAAAAAATTAAAACTTAGATTATTGTTCAGTTTATTTGTAATTTAAGCTCCAGTATCATCTCCCTTCTCATCTGCATGGAATTTAATGTCGTTGTATTCACCACCCAAGTACTCGAACTTTGGGGAGTCTCTCTTAATTTCGTTCAGCAAGTCTTCGAATTGTTGGGGATTTTCAATGAAGAACTTTGACATCCTTCGGTTCAGGAAAACTGCACAAACATTATTCAAATGGAGGATCACACTCATTCCATACTTCGTTTTGACTTTGAAGGCTGCAGTAATGGTATACAAGTAGTTTAATGCTAGATCAGACAGTTTTAACAGAGGAAGTTCCTTCAATTCAGCATTGATTTTGTCGAAATGAACTTGATCTGCCTCATTTTCAACCTTCACATTCAGATCTGGTTGCATACGCATACTGTTAGATCCTTCACCAAAGAATTGCAGTGTTGGGAAACCCTTCTTAATATGGTTTCGAAAATTTTCGAATTCTTTAGGGTTATCCTCGAAAAACTTAATCAATCGGCTATTCACAAAAACTGAATAAGTATTTGACAAATGTAAAACAATGCCAACACCGTGTTTGTTATTAACTTTGTAGGCTGCCGTGATGGTGCACAAATAGCCGCATTCCAGTTGACACATTTTCACCAGGGGGAGTTCTTTTAACACTGCTATATCATTCATTATTTTGAAATTTGCTTCATCGGCTTCATTGTCAACCTTCACGTTTGGATCAGGATGCAGGCTAATATTGTGGTATTTTCCGCCCAAATATTCCAACGTTGGTGAGCACTTCTCAATATGTTGTTGGAAATTCTTGAACATCTTGGGATTTTCAACCAAATACTTGGCCAGTCGATTATTCACGAAAACTGTGTGAGTATCTAAGAGATGAAGAATAACACCGACTCCATACTTTGTTGCCACCTTGCGAGCTGCGATGATGGTATGAAAAGCTCCGTCTAAATCTTCAAGTTTGACGAGAGGAAGACCTTTCAGATGCGCCACAATGTTGATTTTGTTGAAATCCATGATGCCTTGATACTTGAGTATCAAAATTAGGGTTGAATTCAAGTCTTCGGAAGATTTGAGCAGAGTACTTTGATGTCACTTCGAAACGATACGAAGTACTGGTTTCACTTCTTGAATATTCTTCAGAAGAAGATTTAAACGTTTCTTCAATTCCTGTCGCGGGAGACTCTCCCTCATGGAAAACTGCGATGGACTGATGACGAGCATGGAAATGTCGTTGGTTATATACATAAACCCCCCCCCCCCCACTCCTGCAACCATCACTTCTCAAATGAATAATTACACATTGTTATTAACAACGGTCTCCCACGAGGTGGTGGGGCAAACATCAAAGTACCGGAAATGTCAATATATACATAAACCACCCTCTCGCACCCATCACTTGCTTAAATAAATAATTAGACATTATTATAACGATTGGTTATTCCATGAAGTGGTAAACATAAAAATACAGGAAATCTCAATATATACATGAACACCCCACATCTGCAGCGATCACTTTTTTAAATAAATAATGACACACATTACAAATAACGGTTTTCCATGAACGGTTTCCGGACGAGTACCGGAAATCTCAAGTTCGAGCATGTTTGAAAAATGTCATATGGTCACCAGATGTGACACATCTATGACCATCTCAAGGGGGGGGGGGTGAGATCTGTTCAATCGCTAATTAATTGATCCGCGAATCAGAAGCGCTAATTAAACCGTTAATTAAACTATGAACTGCGAATTGATTAACCCTTTCTCCCACCTACCCCCTCGCGGGATAGATTGATCAGATCACTCATAGAGTCCCTTGCAGTCCAAAACCGCAAATTAATTGACTAACCCGCGAATCAAACCCCCACCCCGCGGATCTGACTGCGAATTACGCTATCAACGCTATCAACGGATTAATTAACCCTTTTACCCACCCGGCCCTCTCATGGGGGTCCTTTGACCCAACACCGTGGATAAATTGGTTAACCTGCGAATCTAACCGGGAATCAAACCGCGACCCGCGAATTAATTAACCCTTTCACCCACCCAGCCCCCTCGCGGAGGTCCTTCGGCCAGGTCTCCGCTAGACCCTTGCCCCAAAACCTACAAATGAATTTGATAATTAATTAATTAATTAATTAATCAATAATTAAATCAATCAATCAATAATTAATTAATTAGCGTCAGAAATAAGGGTCACGAGGGTCAGGAATAGAGCTCACAAAAAAGGGTCAAAACTATGGGTCACGAGGGTCAGAAATGGGAGGCAAACATAAACGTCAGAAATAAGGGTCACAAGGGTCAGCAATGAACGTCAGAAATAAGAGTCGCGAGGGTCAGAACAAAGGTTCATTAATTAGGAAGGGTCATAATTAAGTTTTAGGCAAAATCCTATGTCACTCACCAGAGAATCCGAATCTTCGCCTTATCTAGAACATTTAAATATTATATTCCCAAAAATCACAGGATAGCGGACCTGGACTTCAACACAACAGACGATCACTAAAGTTAAGTAACATCGAGTAGGGTTCGGAATTGGATGGGTGACCACTCACCGATAATGTGATTTTTTTTTCTTTTTCTGCGTGTATAAATTGATTCTTACCATTGAGCATGCTTTCCCATGGCAATTAATGAGTTATTAATCATTGACGAATTGTTAATAATAATGAGGTTAATATATAATCACGTGAGTTTTTGCTGGGTTGCAACCTACTTGTAACTTGTGAGATAACTGCGTGACGTTTTCATGAGTTCGTTGTAGGTCGAAACTTATGTGGAACCGGTGACCATGTCGTTTGCACCGCATCGGTAACCGATGATAAACCGATGAAATTTCTACTCGGGGAGGTTGTCATCCTCGTTGGCCCATGCCGCGCGTGCGGTGTCTATTATCGCTGTATGAAGTCTCGTACCAATGGAGTGTTTGGTCTTCCTGGTGGTAGAGTTGATGTTGCCTGCATTTGTGTGATTCTTGACACTGCTTTAGCGGAGATGAGCTCAGTGTGTCGGCCCGATGTTCTCAACGCTGCAGCCGGAGTTGTTCGGCATAAGGTTTCTTCTCTCCCTCATGCCGGAGTGTCACTGCCCTCCAGCTACTCGTCATGGCCCGTCGTTACCATAGTTGTGTTTGCACGGTTGTCATCGTTTCACAGCTTATTCTAAATAAAGTAAAATCGAAGAATATGAAACACGGAACGAAGGCGTTATAATGTCCTGGAATGGTCAGCGAAAATGGCGCGGGACGAACTGTAAGGCGTCTCAACGCCTGAATGTTGTCTGCTTCCTCGCCCATTTTCACTAGATTTTACTCATAATATTCGGAAGTGCACTAATCATGGCAAAAATTGTTCGTGATCATTTTTACGGTGCAGCACAACGGTTTTGGGTGCTCTGCGATGCACCAAGATGCACAAAAAAATAACACGTGGTAACACAGCGCGCGGAACGATAGGAACGCTACCGAGCACTATGCCAAAACCCAACGCTTCTCGAACATTCCACGAAAAACCACGCGACACGAAAATCACTTTAATTTTAACGGAAAACTGTACAACTTTAACGATTGCACTTGTTAACACGTTAATACAGCAATTTTATTTCTCACGTTGAAGGAATCACGTCGGGGTCACCATTTATGGTAGTTCGGTGCGGGATAGATGGGTTTTGTAACGTATAACACTCGGAATTCGTGTACTATATGGAATAAGATTTATTCACAGCAATGTAACTTGGTTTACACCATGACAGCTGGCACGAGAGTGTGCTCCCATGGCAACGGTGTTAATCATCCGATCGAGGATGCCCGAATTATTAGGAATTGTCGTGAGATGTCGTAGTAATGTATTCGGTTGCTAAGCCAAGCTTGAACACAATACATTGAATTGATCTGAAATAAAATAGAAGTAGCTTTGCTCCGAAAAAAACTATGTGTTCTGCATTTAATGTATAACACATTTGGGCAATTTTTTTCAAACCAACAATTTCCGTTGATTTTTTTAATCGAGAAATTTCGTCAAAAAAGTGCTGTTAAAACTATCATAACTCGTTTTTTGTATGTATGGTAGCGGTTAAAAATTTTCCGACTTTAATGGAGACCGAAAATCGGTTTTATTTTCGGCTGCTCACTGTGATAAAAAATAACCCAATCAATTTCGATACTTGAAAGTCCGTATTGGATGACTGGAATATTTATTTTATACCGTACAATTGGTCTCATATTTTTAAGATTTCTTTTCGTCGAGTTACAGACCGTCGTTTCGAGTGGTCTCTACTTTTGACACCGATTGTAGTGCCCTTTATGTGATACACAGCTAGCGAATAATGATGTAGGATTTATTTTCACGTATAAAGATAATACGCATCGCGGAGCGCATCTAATAAAAATATGTAAAATTGTTCTTACAAATAATTTTCTTGGAAAAGTTCTTAAGAGTGTTTTTCGGATTTATAAAAATTCATTTATATTCAATAGAGAGCGATTTCCTTCAGTCTCCGCAATTGTTGAAATGAAAAAAAAAACCTGCAAGAATTGTTTAGGATGTGAAGTTTCGTTAATACGCATATTCAATTCTCAAGTTGTCGCGTTTTTCTAGCATCCACTCACTCTACAGTGTTGCCCTATAGGTTGCCTATGGTTTAGCGGGAATTCCCTCACGATGCGACTACTTAAGGGTTAAAGATGGAATTGCAGTTGGCAATTTCTAGAAATTAATTTATTTCGACAGCAAAATGATGCAATTATATTTTCTGTTGCAGCTGCGTCTTCTTTATGAATGCATTCCAATGGCTTATATAGTGAACGAAGCAGGCGGCAAGGCTTCAAATGGCGAAATCGACATACTCGACATTGTGCCCGAAAAGATCCACCAGAGATGCCCCATATTCCTAGGATCGTCGGATGACGTTGATGATGTTCTCGCCATCATTAAAAAACATAGAAAATGATTGAACAAATTATGTTTTTGTTTATACGTAGACTTAGCATTAAAAAGGTCACATCTCTCAATCCGTGACATGATTAGTTAATGTATTCATGTTGGGAGCCAGGGTGGTTGGAAAAACATTGAGCTTTTGTAATCAAGAATTATTTCTTATGGGAAATAAAAGTTCAGAAGTTTTAAGGAGTTTTCAATTATTACTGAATTCTAGATTGACCAGTGAATAACTCAAGAAATTCTGACTCAAAACATTGTAAGATAGAAATGCTCTGAATTTCCACCTATATAAAAATTTAATAGAAAAACTTGGCGATACCCAAACTTGGATACTGCTTAGCGTCAGTGATCGCAGACTACCCCAGTAGTTTTTGTTCAACCAAGTTTTTCTAGGTTACCCCGGTATCTTCAGAGCTGCTTATGGTAGGTCGTATTTGTTCTCGCTTGATATGGGCAATTAATGAGAGGGAGGAGATAGGAAAGGATAGACCAAGGTGAACAGTAAGGTAAAATGGAATAATGTAGAGAGAGGCATGATAAGGGATACTAAAATGAAAGGGAGAATGGGGCAAAATGGGATACTGGGGTGGAGTAGACCACTTAGACAGCAGGGTTAAATGAGAAAGCAGGAGAGTCATTCACCCGTGTGGTAAAACGGGAAAGCAGGTTAATTAGAGTGGAGCAAAGTGAGATGACAGGGGAAAATGGGATAGCAGTTAAATGAAACCATAAAATACACCGAAACAGTGAGTTACTCCGACAGTGGGTTAAATGGGATAAGGGGGTGAATTGGAGTACAAGGGTGAATCCGATTGCGAATTATTAGGTGTATAACTTAATTTTTTCCTTTTTTGTGTCGAGTGTAGTGTCTTATTTAAAATTTGAATATTTATGCGCCCGTCGGCGATTTTGAAGAGTGGACCTTACTGTTTTTAATAAGCTATATGTCATGTCTGGGAGAGCTGTATAACTTCACAAAACAGTAGTGTATACAATGGCGACCGATACGCAACACATTAGGCACTGTATTCTCTACGAGCTCCAACAAGGAAAAAAAGCCATTGAAGTCCACCATTCGATTTGTTCTACTCTCGGAAGTAATAATGTTTCTTATGATACGTATAAATATTGGTATCGACGCTTTAAAGATAGTGATTTCGATCTCTGTGACCGGGAACGCCCTGGACAGCCTGTGATATTTGAAGATGCTGAATTGCAAGAATCACTCGACAAAGACCCAACGCAAACCCAAAAAGATCTTTCAGCTCAGCTAGGAGTCATACAAGCAGCAGTGTCGAAACGATTACACACAATGGGAAAAATACGAAAGGTAGGAAGATGGGCTCCACACGAACTGACTGAACATAACCTCGGCCAACGCATGAACACGTACCTTCCGTTGCTCGTCAAGGGCCAAAAGAAAGATTTTTTGTCAAAAATTGTGACGGGAGATGAAAGATATATTTTTTTTGCTAACCCCAAACGGAAAAAGTCATGGATGGATCCCGGACAACTATCAGCATCCACTTCCCAACAAAAAATTCACATGAAGAAGGTTCTCCTCTGCATCTGGTGGGATATGAAGGGTATACTCTATTACGAACTTTTGGAAGCGGGTCAGACAGTTACTGCAGAATGCTACAGTCGACATTTAATCAAATTGAGCAAGGTACTTGATGAGAAGAGGCCATTTACTGGACTAGGGAGCCAGTAAGTCATGCTGCTCCATGATAACGCTCAACCTCATGTTGCTTGCGCGACTCAGAAAACAATTTTAAGCTTGGGCTGGGAGGTTCTCCCGCACGCGGCTTATTCATCGGACATGGCCCCTTGTGGTTACCATCTGTTCCGGTCCATGCAGCACCGCTTGGAGGGAAGCCGCTTGCAAACTCTGGACGATGTACGAAAATTCGTCGATGACTTCATCGCCTCAAAGCCTGCAAGTTTTTTTCGCGATCGCATTCGTATGTTGCCCGGTCGATGGCGCGAGGTCATCGAAAAAGATGGATGATGTTTCAAGGATTGATCTAGTATTTATATATTTTATAATATAAATATTTTTTTGACAAAAAAAGGGAAAGATTAAGTTATACACATAATAATTTATTTTTCAATTTTTTTACTTTTTTAATATTTTGATTCATGGTTCAGTAAATTGAATGATGGAATGAAATTAGATAGTGGGATGTAAAATTGAATTTCGGAGGAAACAGGACGAGAGTGCTATTCACTGCTCAGGTTGTGGAGTGAAATGGGGTGAACTAAATGACAGGCTAATTAGCCGGAGGAGTAAATTGAGCGGCAGGTAAATTAAATACCAGTGTTTAGTGGGATAATCGGATAAAATCGATAGAGCGGTAAAATGGGTGAGCCTGACAAATATAACGGTGGGGTAAAATGGGACGATGGGCGACGCTTAGCAACGTCTCTGGATATAACAAATATTTTTGGCGCAGTTGGTAGGACGCGAAACGCTCCCATACTTCTCTTTTGCGTATAACTTTTCCCAAAACTGAATGAGTTTAAAACTCTTTATTTTGTAGAATTACTGTTCATTGCATTTTCCTTAGTCTAATTTAATATCATTTTACTTCACAATGTCATCTATCAATACTTCCTATACAGGAAACACTGCCACGGAAACGTTTGGATCCCATGAAAATTACGTTAGAGCCAAAGATATCGCAAATTCATTGACATTATTTTTTGGCACTCTTGAACATGCTTCTTTTGAAGAATTTGATCAAGCCCTTAGGAAGAAGTTTGTTTCTATCCCAACGATAGATGGGAAAAAGGAGGAATACATCCGTCAGATTTTGAATTATCTTTGACGACTGATGAACTGGAGAAACGCATGAAGAAATTACTTTTTGAAACGAGGCGAGAAACTGCAGATGATTATTATGCATCCAAAGGACCCGCTTCAGGTTATCTCTCCCGTTACCTAGATAGAATTAAGCAATGTATTTCCGAATTAGAAAGAGACCCCTACGTAGATGCGGATAGACAGCAACGAGACGAACGGCCTCCAGAATCCTTCACAAATCGATCTAGCCGCTGCCTTGCAAATTCTCCTTTCTAGGAATGATTTAAACGGGGATCGTGCTCGACGCAACGATGCAACGACGAGCAACTCGAACCCGCGCTACTCCCTAACAGCAGGCAATCTTCGATAACATTAGAGGAAGAGACGACGCTTTTCGCTGGTGAAGTAGGCTCTTTAGTCATTTTAAGAGGCCCCTTTTTCCACAGAGAAGAAGTAGCAACCCTTATCGACACAGGTTCCTCTGTCAATTTATTATAACTAAATTGTTTAAAATCAGAGACACCAGTTAACACAACTATAACCATCAAGATAAAAGGGCTGAATAGAGAACTGATGAGACGCAGAGGCGTGATTAACATCGATCTTTTCCCTGAAGTTACCGTAAGATTCCACATCGTCGACACCATTCCCGCTGGATACAACGCTATCATCGGACAAGAATTTATTGATCAAGTAAAAGCCCCTATTTCGTTCCAGGACAAAACGATAACACTATCACTTAAACCTTTGAACCATATCCATTTATGTCCATTTCCCTGCCGTCATCAACGCAGATGGTGCAGAATATCGGCGAATGAAGGAGGGCCCAGAGTAAATCTACGTGCTACAGGAGTTTTAGGCGGAAAGCAGAAATTCCTCATAGTTACTGGAGCTGAGATTAACCTCATCGAGAAGGGGGCGATTATCAAGGATTTGCCTCCATACCCTTCTCAAGTTGAATATCTCCTAGGGATCACCAATGGCGAAATACCCACTATCAGAAAGGTAGTCTTGAAGATCTGTGGGTCTCCCACACTTTTCCATGTGGTAGACGGAACTCTGCCATTTGAAGGAGTTGGAATACTGGGATTAGACTTCTTGGAGAAAGAGAACGTAGACATCAGATATCTGCACAGAAATATCTCCACTTGGCGAGACCCAACAAATTCGATCCTGTGGCACGAAAAGCTGACTCCAGGTCAACCATTTAGCGCTACACCCAGGCTTAGAATGGTAGTACCTGTCCGTATTGAAAGTCCACAACTAGACGAAGAATATCTTTCCAGGATTGATCTCCAGGGGGGAGTCTACCTAGGAGAAGCAGCTGTCAAGGTGAAAGAGGGAATCGCATGTGTGATGCTGATCAACACCGCAAATGAAACACTGAATCTCAACATACCTGCTCAGAAATTAGAGCCTTTCAGTCAAGATTTACCTGAAAATGACATTGAAGTAGTTAAATGTTTCCCTCTAAGAGAAATCAACACCGAGCGAGAACGAGAAAGCTTCTTGAAATCATCCCAACTAAAGAGTTGAAGACGTTCGAGAAATGAGAGGTCAACAACCTTATTGATGAGAACAACGATATTTGTCAGCTACCCGGTGATAAATTGAGGAGAGTAAAGAATTTCAAAGGTAAGATTAAGACCACAGACCAAAAACCAGTCTTCAAGGGTCAATACAAATATCCGCCTCAACACAGAGAAGAAGTCTGTAAACAGATCAACCAACTACTAGAACAAAGGATAATAAAACCATCCGAGTCTCCATACAATTCACCTCTATGGATTGTCCCAAAGAAAGCAGACTCCAAGGGGAGAAAACGCTGGAGAATGGTCATTGATTCCAGAAGTTTGTATTGGAGACGCATATCCAGTACTCGACATTATTCAAATACTCTCGCAACTGGGGGGGACTAGATATTTCAGCGTCTTCGACTTGGCTAGTGGTTTTCATCAGATCGAAGTGGATGAAAAAGATGGAGAAAAGACTGCATTCATTGGACCAGATGGCCATTATGAATATCATCGAATGCCCTTTGGCCTACAGAACTCCCCTCCAATTTTCCAATGAATGATGGACCAGGTATTAACAGGTTTAAAAGGCACAGAATTCTATGACTACCTGGATAATGTAGTTATATATTCACCTACACTCGAAGAAAATGTAGTTAGGCTACACCATCTATTCCGAAGGTTGCGAGAGGAAGGGCTAACTCTGCAACCCGACAAGTGTCGATTTTTCTGCAAAGAAGTAAACTACTTGGAGCATATCATACAGGGTGACAATTAGGAAGTTGCCTAAACTAATCGTTTATAACTTTGAAATGAGTGCGGGAAAAAAAAAAGAAAAATAAATATGAATTGAGTAAAGATGTCATTTT